CATCTATGAAATTGTCCGGAAGTACTGTAGAGCCTTCCCTCTTATAAGAATATTTCGTCACTTCTTCTAGCAGGAGGAAGTCGAGAGACACCACCCCCACTTTATGCGAAGTTGTCCTGTATGTTCTGATGACCCGAAGCAGAACTATTCTCTGAGTCGATGCTAGCCTTTTTTTTTTGTCGATGTGTGAGGTTCTGTAACCAGAAGAGAGAAGCATACTTCAGGATACCCTCCACAACACCTTTATAAATTGTGATTGTGGTAATCGATACCTAAGGCCTCATAATGCGCTCCCCACGCGAGTTAGACCGTTCATTGCTTGGGCCACCATACCTGCCAAATATTCCAAGTGAGGTGTCACATTTAGGACTAAATTTAACCTAACTCCTAGGTAGGTTACCACCTCACTTGGACGTATCCTCCAAGCAACATTGAGATTCTTTTTTGTCTTAGAAAGCTGTGCACCAATGAAAGAGTCGACAATCCTCCTTGCATCCTTTAGAATTAGTTTTGCAACCCAGTTGATCATCTTTCATGATCCTGTTTTCGATAGTGTGATTAGTAATAATTGATGTTAAGATTTTTATAGATATTATTTAAACACGTTATTGGTCGAAAATCTTTAGGTCCATTTTGTGGATGTCCTTTATGAATCATATGAGTGCTTCCTAGATAGAAATCTTCAGGAGTTTGAGCATTACCCAGGAGTTTATTATAAAATGCAGCTAGGGCCCTGTGTATACAATTAAAACTCTTAAACCAATAATTGTAGATCTTCATAATTGTAGATCTTATCAGGATCTGGTGCCTTCCAAATTTTCAGCCTCATTACTGTGAAAGTTACACCGTCCTCACTTAAATCGGAAATATTCATTGAGGATATAGTCGCTGTTTTTCTTAAAACAAAACGCTTTTTCATTATAATTCTTTGGGTTTTCCCATATATCTGCTCAATAGCTTCTTACATCTTCCCTGGCAGGTATTCCTTCTACATTCCGCTTCAGTATACTTTCTTTACCATTTGGCATAAGCAGCTAGTCTTTGTTTTAGCATATCGAGGTATGAGCTTAGCTTTTCAATCATATTACATTTATCAATGGAACCATTTCATAAAACAATTATTTCGTCTACTTTGGTATTTAATATTAAAGAAAATTTATTTGGGTTGTTTAAATAATTCCTAATTATGACAATATTACTAATTATGACAATATTAATATCAAAACTTAACATAACTTATTTATTTTTACATTTTTTTTTTTTTACTGAACATTTCAACCAATCTTCTCTTCAATTATTCACTACAGTCAAATATCAATGCAAAATTACTTTGGGTTTAGGTTGTGATGTGTGGTGCCTTGTCAAATTATTATCATTAAACTTGAAAAATATCTATCGATACATTTTATATATCGATACATAGTTGCCAACCTTCTCGCTGACAGATCAAAAGTTAACCGTTGGGAGGTTATACTTCAAAAATAAAGATTTTGTTATAAAAGATATTTGTTTTAATTTTGCTCTGCAGTTCAATGAACTAATCGTAATTATGGATAGCAATGTTTTTTTAAATACACGACCGTAACCAAATCAGTTCCCGATGGAATATTGCATTCCTGTGGTGGTAATCTTAACTTTCTCCTTAGATCTGCTAATAAAGTTTTCCTAGGAAAGTTATCTGGTTCTAATTTTGATTTATCTGTTAAGGTAACTTCTTTCCTTCACTGTAATATTCTAAAAAAAAAAAAAAAAAAAAAAAATGGGTTTTACTTTATTTCTATTTGGATTCCTATTTTATATCTTTAAAAGTGAATATAGTAAAACGTTGGTATTAATATATATTAAAATTATTAGTGTCTATTGTGAATTTATGAAATACAAAAGTTTTGACTATCTTTTGAGGGCATTTTTCACCAGTAGCATCAATTTTTTTGTGAAATAAATTTTTGCTGTGGTACTCAATGTTATATTTATTTATAAGATACAAAAGTTGTTTGTTCTTCATAATGCCTTTTACTTTGCAATTTTATTCCTATAACGCATCTTATGTGACTTGATGGGTGACTATGAAAGATGTACAACATTGCGAAATTTCACATTCTGATTCTAGATGAGTAAAGGTTGTCATAATGATTAACAGTTGGTTTTAATGATGAATTAGTTCATTAATTAAACAATTAAGGAGAAAATTGACTTAAATAATAGTATACCTATCAAGTTATAAAAGTTAAACTGTTGTGTTTATTTTTGAGTCTGATATATTTTAAATTTTTATTCCAGCATTGCTCTTCTAGATAATGGATCGTATTGCTACGGTATGAGTTAATTTTATTCAAAATTTATACACCTACTCTTTAAAAAATAATTAAAATAAGTTTGAAGAATAATGCAATTTCATTTTGAAATGTGGTACTAGTTCCAAATCACTATTCTAGTATGGTGGTTAGTTTCAAAATCTCTTTGGGAACACTAGATGAAATCCTGAAGCTATCTATATGTGTCCATTCTCCTGAAAACTGTGATGACCATTTTCCAGCCCAACTCTTTATTATTAGGAAATTACTCGCTATGGGTGGAGGTAAAATCTGTCCTTTGTAGCAAATAGAATCCACTTATGATAAATAAGATCCATAATCTTTTTGGGATAAACAGAGTTTTTATGTTTTTAATCTACGATAATTATGTCCCCCTGAACTCATTCCGGTTATTAAGTACAACAATACAATAACATTATGACTATCAATAATTACAGTGCTATGAAATGAAGTAAAATAATAATGATTAGTTTTAAGCATTGCTGTAAACAAATTAGTTTATATTTTAAACACATTTCTCTGTATCCAACATCATATAATTAATTAATATTATTCTATAAGTCTGTCATTGTGTTTAAACATGAATGTCAATACTTGTATATATAATATTTTCAGCATCGCATCTATTTATCACGTTGGCGCTACAACCCGGGGTTGGGTCTTAGCCTCCTCTAAAAACTTCCGCCATCCAGCTCAATTCATTGCTGCTGCCTTCCAGTTTGGTGTTCCTAGCAGTAGTCTGGAGTCAGCTGCCATGTGTTCCATCCATCTTAACCTGGGTCTGCCACTCTTCCTAGTCTGGTGAGAATATCCCCCAGGACTCTTCTGAGAATATCACTATCCTCCATCCGAATCATCAACTTAACCTTCCAAACCTCATGAAGTCTATCACCCTTTTTGTAGATTGAGCAAATTATTCCCTTTTTCCACTCCGTTGGCATCTTTTCATCAACCTAAATTTGGACTATCAAATTATGAAGATCCTTATGCAATTTTTCACCTCCATATTTAAGGAGCTCTACTATAAGGCCATCTAAACAGGAACTTTTGTTATTTTTCATTTTGTGGATCACTTTCATAAGTTCTTCGAAATCCGGAGGAGGTTCATTCTCTTTCTCTGTGTTCTCATTTAGATTTTTGTGTCTGGCAACTTCTTCTGCATCTTCCACTGTTGAGTCATTTAGTAGAGCCTCAAAGTGACACAGCTATCTTTGGAGAATTTCTTCGTGAACAGCGAACCGTCCTCGCTCTGGCATGGGATGGAAGTTGGTTTGAAATCAAATTTTTCCTGATTGACCCTGTTATAATTCTGCTGTCATTTACTTTTCGTGGTTCCTCAATTTCTTCCAATTTTCTCGTTTCCCAGGTTTCCTTCTTTTTTCTATGAAGATTTTCTCCACTTGCCGCAAATTCCTATATTCTTTCGATGCTAGCCAGGTTATCTCCTGATTTGTAAGCTTGGTTTTTTGTTTCTGTCGCTGTCTGGCATTCTGAATCAAACCACGCATCTCTAGAATTTTTCAATTTGTTTCCCAACTCTTCTTTTGCAGCCTTCATTACACCTTCTTTCAGAATCCTCCATTCATCTTCTAATTCAGGATCGTTGCCAATTTCTTTCATTATGTTCTTCATCAGATGGCTGTCTGTTATTCATATCTTTGGTGAGTTTCAGAGTCCTTCAACTTGCTTACATTGATTTTTTTACTTGCCTTTCTCCATACAGTGTGGCTATTGGAGATTCTAGCTCGTACTCTGGATATTACTAAGTAATGGTCTGAATCCATGTTAGCACCACGAAAGGTTCTGTTGCTAATGAAGTTGGATTTGCTGCGAGACGATATGAGCAGATGGTCAATTGGGTTAAATGTTTTACCATCCAGAGACATCCAAGTGTTTTTGTGGATCCTTTTACCAGGGAATAAGGTACTCCCAATAACCAAATCCCTTCAGAAGGCTAAGTTGATTAACCTCTTTCCATTCTACATTTTCCAAACGTAGGGTGATCTATTTCTTCCTGGCCAATCTTGGTATTAAAGTCCCCTAGCATAATTTTTACATCAATTCGAGGACACCTATCGAGCTCTCTTTCAAATCTATTGTAGGAATCTTCCTTTTCCTCCTCGAGAGATTCTTCTGTGGGAGCGTGGCAGTTAATTAGGCTGATATTATAGAAGAGTCTCTTGAGCCTTAAATTTAGAGAGCCTTGGACTTAAGGCAGCATAACCTATGATTCGATCTCTCATTCTTTCTCTTACAATAAACGGTGCCAAGCCTCCGGTTTTTACTATGGCAGTTGTAATAAAGTGTGTGATACCTTTTCTACAAAATTCTTGTTCCAGTCTTAATGAATTTCCTGGATCACAGTAAGGTCAATCCTATAACTGTCAATTTGCTTCAGGAGGGCTTGAAGTCCTCCGGGTCTATTAAGAGTTAAAATGTTCCATCGTCCAATTATTATGTCCTTATGACGGTTTCTGTGTCTTTTCCATTTATCAATCCAGCATTTTCTCTTAGAGGTTTCGGGACAAGAGTGGTTTAAGGGGAGGGAGATATCTACCCATACTCTTCCCGAGTCGGGTGGAGAGACTGTCTCCTCAGAGCATCCTGACCCACTCCCCCGTCCGGGGCGGCTACTTAGAGGAGGTGACCCTAAGGTGTGTACTATTATTGACCTTAGTGTATAATGTGGAGATGAGTGTAGTGTGCTGTAATCTGTGTACTGTGTGCTTGTCAGTGTACTGTTCTCCCAACCTGGAGGGCCAGTATCACTTCTGTTGGTTGTTAAATGAGATCTTGAAAAAGCTAACCCCCATCTTGGCATAGCGATTCAGAACAAGTACCAAAAATACAATAATAATGATGAATCAAGATCTTTGTTTTAATTTTTTCTTTATTTTAATGTTTTATTTTATTTCATGTTGTACTTTTATTGTTGCTTATTTTCTTCTGTCCAGACAATTAATGATCCAGTTCACAAAACAATTGAGATGCATCCATTATGTTTGAAAATTATAGATACTCCAGAGTTTCAGAGGTTAAGAGATATAAAGCAATGTGGTGTTAGCTACCTCGTTTATCCATCTGCTGTTCATAGCAGATTTGAGCATAGTATTGGGTAATTAATTTTTTTTATGTTATAAACAAATTTATTTTTATCTCCTACAGAGAAAAATATTTGATATATAACATTTCTCTTTTCAGTAGGAGTGTGAGAAGGTACAAGATTTTTTAGCTGTTAATTTCACATTCAATACATATCTCAATATAAAAAACTACGAATAAGGCATATTTTAGCTTGTTGTAAGTCAGATTTAGACAACCAGGTCAAATTTACACCCATTCATTTTTTTTTTTTTTTAAATGAGAATATAGTTCCCAATACTTGAAAATTTTATTTTAGAAAAAATTTAGTGTTAATGAAATACAATATTCATTCATGATTTCATGTTTCGAAATGAAAATACGTGTTGCAGTTAATAATTCTTAATTTTTCTAAGGGGTGGCGCTGGAAATAAGGATTAGTTCATTGTTTAACTCATGTTATTTTGTTGCTATGACATTTCCTTTCAAAATAACATTGATGTTACAACAATTCTGGATTAGTCTCATATTTTTTTCTTTTAGCAAACATGTCGAGTTTAAAGCCAAATGAAGAGTATACTACTTTTTCTTGTTCAGAAAAAAAAAAAAACACGAGTGAAAGCCATTTCATACTTATGGAAGCTTAAGGCGGCAATGTCTTAATGCAAGATGCTGTTGTGCATTGGTTTAGACAATTCAAATGTGGTGGTTTTGTCTTGAATGACAAAGAACACCTGGTCAAATGAAAAGATTCAAGATGTCAGATTGCAAGAATTTTTAGACGAAGACGATACAAAAACTCAACAACATATGACAAAGATGTTATATTTTAGCCAACAAACCATTTGTGATTGTTTGCATGCCATGGATAAGATCTAGAAAACAAGAAAATAATTACCGCATCAGTTGAATTACAGATAGATGGAAAACCTAAAAATGGTGTGCAAAATTTTGCTTTCTCAGCATAAAAGAAAGACTTTTATCCATCGAGTTATGACTAGACAATAATTGGATGTATTTTGGGAATCTACAATTCAGAAAAACATGGGTTTAGCCAGGACAATCTGACATGATCAGAAGAGTGTCTTGCACCATGAACTTCTGAAACCATATGAAACGATTGATACTGTTCAGTACTGTCAACAAATGATTAATTTGAACCAGGCAATATCGAAAAGTAACCAGAATGGGCTATATGACATGGAAAATTAATTTTACAGCACACCATTGCCCCATCACACACAGTGAAAGTGGTCAAAAGCATCCTTTCTATCTCGACTGGGAACTCTTGCTCCGCCTGCCGTATTCACCAGACTTGGCTCCTACTGACTACCACTTCTTTTCATCAATGTCTCATGTACTCTCCATGAAACATTTCAATGATTACGAAGATGTCAAAAAATGATTTGATAATTGGACCAACAAAAAAAATGTATGGTTTTTCTAGAAGGGCATCAATAAATTGCCAGAGAGATGGGGAAAATGTGTAACTTTAAATAAACAATTTTTAACCTTTCTCCCAATTAAAATTTTGTTTTTACAGAAAGAAACTAAGAATTATTAACCACCAAACCTGCTAAATTCATTATTGTATTTAGAATTTCTATCACAAATTATCATTTTTAGTATGATTGAATCAATAATATGTCATATCAGTCGAGGAAGAATATAATAAATCTTAATATATCAATCAAAGGTTTAATAAATCAGGTAGGTACTTGCAACATAGTAACTTAGCAAACTATGTACCCTCAACGTCACGAGATCCAGACATACCCTCATGACTTCCAGTGCATAAGCTCAAGATTGTTTATGGGCTGTCGCAGGCTTGATTTATTTAGTTTAGCTTAAATTAAGTATTCTATCTCTTGAATTTTATAGTTTGTATTCAATCATTTTTTATCATTACTATCAATGAGATATGGTCTATTATTATAAATGGACAACCTAATGATATTTTAGAGGAAGCCATTCTGAAAATTGGGCATTTAATCTCTTTTGAACTATTTCAATTTGGATATTCAAATCTTGGTGATATTAATGACCATTTGTACATTATGTATAAACACATTATATCCTCGGCACCATGTTGAGTAACAAATGTGTGTCTGTTTAACATTGCATATTTGTTACTTTAATGTGGTGCCAACAATATAAATGTATGATGTACATTGATACATTGAATTTATTCAAAATTTTTAGAGCCATTTTCGAAAAAATCTATGATATAAAGTGGCATTTTGAGTTAAGCAAAAAAGTTACATTAACACCTTAAGCTCATAAGTACCTTTAATGAGTGATTTTGGGTTCTTAGTTATTTGGAATCAGATAACATATTGAAAAATCCGAATTCAAAGTTTCAAAATTGCAATACTCCGCTTACTATATATTTCATATGTAGGCAAGTGAAATAAAAAATTACTGATTACTTCTAGTAAATATCAGCATTCTTAGCTCACACGTATCACAGTTATGTCAGTATCGCAGCTCAGAATGTCCACACCTTATTTGTCGATTTCAAAGCAGCCTATGATTCTGTGGACAGGAGCTGTCTTTGAAAATCATGACTGAAGTGGCAATTCCCAACAAGTTGGTGAAATTGACAAAGGCTGTACAAATGACCTCAAATGTAGAGTCCTAATACAAGGAGAAGTATCTGAAGCCTTCAAAGTTCGAACGGGTTTACAGCAGGGAGATGGACTATCACCAATGTTGTTCAACTTAGCCCTAGAGAAGGTGATAAGAGCAACATCACAGCAAAATGGAGGGGTCCACGTCGGAATGAATCATAAAATCCTTGGATACACAGAAGATATAGCTGTGCTTGGAAGTAATCAAGAAGACATTGAGAAACTAGCTACAACACTGATAACAGTGGCAGAGCAGATTGTCCTAAAAGTAAATGAAGACAAAACAAAATCAACTTTTAAGTATATATTTATGAATTCCAATCACATCAAACTCATAAAGTAAAAGTAATTAATTATCGCAACCCCTAGGTAAGTCAGCATATCACAGATTTCGATTAAATTTTTTTTTAGTGATACTACATCTAAAAATATTGGACAAATGTCCCGGTGTTCTTTCCAATGGGTCTTAGGAGATGAGGAACAAAAAAATTATATAATTTAAAAATAAATTTATACTATCATTTTTTGCATGAATTATTAGGTTATTATATTCCGATTGATTTCTTGTTTTGTGAAGAATAAGAATAAAATATTCCCTAAGGTATAAAATGAGTAATGATATAATGTATCATGAATTATTAAAACAAAAAGGCGATTCCAGTTTATTAAACCAAACAAATTTTTATTATCACTGTTATTAATTTAAATAAAAGATTGCTAATTTTAATACCTGTTGTGAATGAGTTAAGCCTCAGTATTCTCGGTCATAACTTACATAACTCCATATAGTCAGTAAAAAAAAGTCTGGGTACACCACTGTCTTAAATTATTTTACTACATTAAATAACAATAAAATAGGGCAATGATAAACACTTTATTTGCTGTTTCACAAAATTAATTTTAATAGTGAAGAACATGAATAAGGAGGTTCGCAACAAAAATTTGAAGTTTTACATCTATAGCGTACAAAGAAGTAATTTTTATAACCCAAAAAAGTTTGTGTACACTAGATTTTTTTTCTGATTATTTTTATGACATAGTAATGGTAATACATAATTTGCAGGAATCAATGGTCTGTGGAGTCTCCCTTATTTTTTATCACCTCTTGTAGATGGTCATTCATCAGCGAAACCAATTTTTTAGTGGCTCAATTTGTTCCCATTCATACATTAATGCTTCCTTAATATGTGTTTTGTTTTTAATCTTCCTTTTTTTCAATCTTGGTTTTAGTTCATCCCATAGATGTTCGATTGGGTTCAGGTCCGGTGATTGGGGCGGAGTTTTTAATTCTCTTGGTGCATTGTGGAATAATCACTCTTCAATTTTCCGCGCTCGATGCTTTAGGTCATTTTCTTGTTGAAATATAAATGATGACCCAATACCAAGATTCATCCCATTTTTTATTTAATATCTCTATGTACTCATATTGGTCCATTATACCCTCAATAATTCTAAGTTTTTAAAATTACGCACTCATACAGTCCCAGACCATGATTATACCTCCTCCATGGTATGTGACACAAGTTTTTAGCTACTAACGCTTGATTGAGTTTCGCTATACCCAAACTTTTCCATCAGATGAAAATAAGTTAAATTTGCATTCGTTGCTGAATAAAACTCGTTCCCACAAATTATTGGACATATTTAGATAGTCTTTTGAAAATGATAAATGCTTGTCTTTATTCACCTTACTAATAAAATGTTTTTTTTCCTAGCAGATCGCGAGTTATACCCTGCTTTTTTTATTATATTTTGCACTGTTTGTGGTTTAACTTTAATGGCATAATCATTTTCAAGCATTCCTGCAAGGGTATATCTTTCATAATTTCTCATTCATGGATCTTTTGAAATTTTTTCGGACGTCCAGTTCTTGAGCCGACTTTAAAAGTTTCCAGTCTCTTCAAACCTGTTAATGATTTTTTGAAACGTGGAATGATGTTTGGAAATTATTTTGCCAATTTCTCTCAGTGATTTTCCTTCTTTTCTTAAATTAACAACTAATTTTTGTATTTTCACAGATACCTCCATAATGAGACCAAATAATACTAAACTCACTTCCTTACAGGTCAATAAATAATCAAATACTGAATAGCTGATAACTCAAAATGCCCTCAGTTAAGGGATCATCACATTTTTTTTAGGTTGTTATGTTTATAAATAGTGTACGCAGACTTTTCTTGACCACATTTTGTTGATTATGTATTATATTATCAAAACTAGGTCCTGAGTAACATTTTTATTAGTAGAAACTGATTTAATTACTTATTTTAAATAGATTATTAACAAATATTTTCATTGTAGAGCACTTGTGGAATGAAGAAACATTAAAATTCCTTTTGGAAATAACTGTACCCAGACTTTTTTTACTAACTGTATATTTCTAATATAGTCCCCATTGCCCATTTTCCTCATTAACAAATTTTTGTATTTGATTTTCTTATAGGATTTTTTTTTCAGGCTGTTGACCAAAGCATTCATAATTATTTTCCAAATTCAATGTTAGTACAACAGTTGGAAATCTAAATTACTGATCTTCCGACCAATATCAATAACTTTTTAACTTATATTTCTTTATGAGTTAGAAGTACAGAAAAATTTCTTAAAAATTTTTTATTTTATAATCTTAGGTTCTAATTTGCTTATAGAGGTCAGTTTTGTACCATTTAATGTAGTATATAGAGCCCTAAAACCTTAGTAATTTTCATGTAAATCTATGGAGTCATTTTGAAGTTATCACTATGCGGTTTTCCAAAAATTTTGGAGAAAATTAATGGATGTTTTAGTTTTAGACTACTTTGTTTTTATTATTTATTTCTAAATTAAAAATATCATTATTGTATATGCGTGTATAAAAGGTTAATAATAAAGGTATTAATCTTATGTTTTAAAGTGTCTATTACTTGGCATCATTGATGGTCGATAGTCTCATGAAGAAATATGAAGATCCTTGCATGTATAAAGAAAATCCAATCAAAATCAGCCAAGAAGATCGACTCTGTGTTATGATTGCTGCACTTTGTCATGACATTGGTCACGGACCCTTCTCTCATCTATGGGAGAGATTTATAAACAGACAAACTAAAAAGAAATGGCGTGTAAGTCACCTTTAATCTTGTATGCTATTGATTCTCACATCACAATTTCTGATTTATTTTGTTTAACCCTTTGACTGCTGGAGCTCATTCCCGAGTTTCTACCATACGTTGCATTCTGAAATCCACAAATACATCCAAAAAACTGGATTTTTTTTTTGCATAAATTTGTTTAAAATGCTATTTTGAGTCACCCAGCAAGATCTTAGCTTTCAAAAATGCATTTTAACGTTTGTATTCAACTTTTAAAAATGGGGTATATGCCTCCCCGGCCGCTCATAGCAATGCGCAACTACAGTGGTAATCCTGCAACACTTCGCTTTCTTGCGTATTTGCTCATGTCTGAAAAGCAAAATAACTGAAAATGGTCACAAAAATAACTATAAGTGATTATAAAAATTAAATTATACTATTTCTAAAAAAGTACACCAATGGCAGGATTCGAATTATATATTTCTTTGTATTTACAAATTTTTTTATTACCTACAAAAGTTCTATATTGGAAAAAGGGCAGTTATAAATTTTATTATTCCACATACATTTATTTTGAGTTTCAAATACTTTTATATTATATGAAATATATATATATATATATATATATATAATGTAGGAAACTTTCATGAAAGAGATTCACGTGTACCAAAATCAGCATTCATTCAAAACCAAAATTAAAAAAAAAAAAATACAAAAATTAACTCATTAACATTTGTTTTATGTATAAAACATTTAAATAGAATATAAATAACATCATGGATATGACACAAATAACAGAGAAAGGACATACCTTGGATTAAGGATAAATCTGCAACTGATAGCTTCCAAATGATCTTAGCTCCAGGGGACTAATGAATGCATTCAATGCATTCACAGGTGAAGGCAGGACTTTCTCCTACCTGTTTAAGTGGCGACCTCCCAGGTGGGAACGCATATATCCCGGCCGCACCAGTGACTCAACTCACAACCGGGAAGGCATATATCCCAAAAGGTTAATATACCAATTATTGGAATCTATATTGCCATAGTATAATTTCAGCTTGATGCTTTGATCTATTCTGTTATTTTTTTTTTTTTATATATTTCAATAACCTGAGGATTTTTCCAAAGAGTCTGAAGAACCAGGCTTCAGAGGATGTTGTGCAATGGTTCTTTTTTTTTTTATATAGTTATACATAAAAAAAAATATAGTGTCCTTAATTACCTTTCAAATGAACATCCTGCATTTTCTGAGAGATGTATCATTTTTTAATTATCCAAAAACTAAACAAAGGTGAAACATAGTGAAAGTGAACCACAGGTTTACTTTACAAAACATGTACAAAGCTCAATATGATAAAGTTTTGTTAATAACTGATAGATTTGGATGATTTTTTTCGTTTGTTTTATTGAAAATTAAATTACCCTTCAATAATCCTAGTAAAATGAAAAACTATTGGATTCTCGTTATCATGAAGCATAAATTAATTTTTTTTTTTGGATGAATAAAAAAGGTCCAGAGAGAATCACTTTATTATCTTAAAAGGGTGCTGCCCAATTACATTGGGTTGCTTTAAACACAGCATACTTATTAATCGCTACAGACAATTTTCAAAAACTAATATACAATTATATAGTATTAACAACATATATGAGCATAATATACAATTTTTTTTTTTTTTTTTTTTTTATCTATATATATATTTTTTTTATCATAATTTTTTTCCTATATTTTTATTTATTTATTTATTTTATTTTTACCATTTCTTTAATTCATTTATTAGCACTATACATCCCTTTCTGTTCCTTCTCTCACTCTATACATTTTTCTGTTCCCTAGATTTTCTCCTCTCTTTTCCTAACCTAATTCATAACATGCATACAAATACATAAAGTGCAGTGGACGTGGTCAATAAATAATGTAAAAATGCTGTAAAACACGCATGCCTCCCCCCCATGAACAAACTCTCTATCCATGCACATGGTGATGGATAATTCCCAGGGAGTCAAGGATTATGTTCTCTGCCAACCTTGCCACGTCCCTTATGTCGACACCAAGGCCCTCCATGAAGCTCCTTGTTGAGTCTGGTATCGTTCTGCGAGCTCCGAACCAAAGGCCTCTCACGTGGAACTCTCTCGGCCCGAAACTCTCGCGGAACTTTTCACTAAGGAAAGGGATGCATTTCTCATATGTCTGTTTTTTCTCCCTTTCCACTTTTCCTGCCTGATCGAGGTCGTTGGTCTCATATCTCACGGTCGGATCCAAAATCATCGCCGACTTTCCCGTCTTAGGGAATGCTACTATGTCGGCATATCGGGTGGATCCATCCGTATCTATACAATATACTTCCTCGAAACAGGCGTAATCTTTCTCTATAAGGAGCCTCATCAGTTCATGTTTGACTCGGTGGTGACGGCGCGTTATAAGGAGGGAGTTGTTGGGGCATTTTCCAAGCACATGTGCTGGTGTTTCTGGCTCTCTGTCGCATTTGCGTAATAAACTAATTGCGTAAAAATAATAAACTAACTATGATGTTAAATAAATTAAGATAATTCTCTCTAAACAGTTGGCCTTGTTCTATTTGGCGAATGAAAAACAGCAGAGGCCGTGGTGGCCGTATGTGTTAAGGCTTGATCTTAGCAATCTCGAGTCAGAAATGGTGCCTGTTCAATTCCCACGAGAGCGGTTGATATTTTTTTGGGGAACCTATAAAATGAATCTCAATCTTTAAATACCTCATTTACCAGAAATAACCAGGATAGGGGGTAAAAGATAAAGAAAAAAAAAGAAGGGAAATGATACTAGATATTTTTCTCAGATTTCTTTATATATTCAATTTTAGAATTCTAAGAGAATTTTGTTTTGTAGAGGTACTGTGTAATATTTGGCCATTTTCAATTAAAATCTATTAGTCTACACTTATATACATATTATATTGGTAAAATCATTATAATTCATATAGTTGTTATACTAATAATCTTTGTTTAATAATTGTTGTAGCATGAGGATATGTCCACCAAAATATTTAAACGTTTAGTTGAAAAGAACAACTTGAAAGGAGAATTTTTAAATTACAATCTTAATGACATTCATATCAGTTTCATCACTGACATTATTGCTGGAAATTATGAATATCATCATGATAAACGCTTTTTGTTTGAGGTGTGTTATAACTGTGTATAAGTATTACATTATGTTTTCATTTAATTAAAAACTGAATAATATTTAATTACTAAGTACAGTTTAAAAGTTAATTAAAAAGTACTTATAACTTTTTTTTTTTTTTTTTATTTCTTTATGACATTTACAACTGTATTACATAAATACATCAAGTAAATTTGAACATAATTGATATAATGACATGAATACACTTGCTGAGTAACTACCCAATGGTAGCACTCTAATGATAGACTACATTAGGAGATCACGGGGCCATCTTTTCAGACGCCTCGGAGGATTATCAGGAATTGAAGAGGAAGCAAGGTTAGAAACGAGAGGGTTGGGATGATTCTGAAGTTTATTATGGAAGGATAGGTATCTGGATTGGGCCAGATCTGAAACATAAGGAACATTAAGATCTTTATGGATAATTTTATTAGTGACAAAGTAAGGAGCATTGAGGATTTTACGAAGGATTTTGGATTGTAAGGATTGGATGCGAGAGGAATTCGATGGTTTAGTGGAGCCCCATAGCTCAACTCCGTATGTCCAAATAGGTCTTATTATAGTCAAGTATATAAGTCTTGTAATTAATGCGAAGTTTAGAGCGTTTGTCTAGTAAGTGCTGAAGTAATCGGAAACGTCGAGCGATTTCTTGTCGTTTCAGTCTAGTATGAGGATTCCAAGTTTTGTCAGGTGGAGTCCTAGGTTTCGGATTTGCTCAACAGGGATAAGTGGAGTATTGTTAAAGGAAACTGTAGGACAGGAAGTCGTTGGTTTACGACGAAGGGTAAAGATAATTTGGTGGGATTTATTGGAGTTTATTTTAATTCTCCAGTTTTGACACCATTCTTCTAGATTTATGATGTGTGATTGAAGCATTTGGGATGCAATTGCTGGGTCATTGTTTACTGATAGGATACATGTGTCATCAGCATATGTAGTGATGACAGTATTGGGACAGGTAGGGATGTCAGCTGTATAAACTGTATAGAGGATAGGACCTAGGATACTACCTTGAGGAACACCAGCAGACTGGGAAAAAAGGGATGAATAGGCATTATTGTGATTTACTTTAAAGTATCTATCATTAAGGTAGGAACGGATAATGAGGAAGTATGTAGGTGGTAGGAATTTTCGGAGTTTGTACAGCAGTCCCGGGTGCCAAACTCTATCAAACGCCTGTTCAACGTCGAGAAAGACTCCCGTACAGTACATTCCGCGCTCCAATTCAGAGGAGACTACGTCTACCACACGATGACATTGCTGTATAGTGGAATGGGAAGTTCGGAAACCAAATTGGTGATCTGGGATTATGTGTTTAGAATTTAGGATAGGGTACAGGCGTTTTAAGATGAGTTTTTCTAGGATTTTGCCCATGATGGGTAAAAGAGAGATAGACGGTAAGAGGATGGGTATTCTATTGGTTTTTTGGGTTTGTGGATCATTTTAACAATAGATCGTTTCCAAAGATCAGGAAAATATGTAGAACGGAGTACAGCATTATATATGTAAGTAAGGAATAGGATGGCTTTTCGAGGAAGAAGTTTTAGGATCTGTGATGTAGTTAGGTCATGTCCAGGAGCTTTACGGGAAGGTAATTTTTGAATGATGTTGGATATTTCTATGGGATGAAATGCTTTGGGTGGCAGAGACATTTGGAGAGGAATATCCAGTTCTGCTTCAATGCAATTGATGTGAGTTGAATTAAGGATATCGGGATGTGGGTTTAAAGTTTGGAAGAGATGTTGACCAAATAGTTGGGCTTTTTCTTCGTCGGATTTGGACCAGGTTTGGGAATCAGTAAGTAGTGGGTGATTAAAGTCTTGAAACTTAAGAAGTTTTTTGGTGGTCATCCATAATGATTTGTCAGTGGTTGTAAGTTTTTCAGTAAAATTTAGTAAATTTTGAATTTTGTATTTTCTAATTTCTGATTTCAGTTTGTTAGTCAGTTGTGTGTTATGCGATTTATCTGTTGGGTATCTAGTCCTATGCCACTTCGATCTTCGATTTTCCTGTAATAAGATGCGAATATGCTGTGGCAAGTTAGTATTTTGTGGGAAGTTAATCTTATTGATAAAGGTGTTATTATTTATACTGTCTGTTATTGATGATGTCAGTTTTTCTATGGCACCATTAATGTCTTCTTTTGTCTTTAGCGGGATTTTGAGGTCTAGTTTGTTTTCCAAATCATCACGAAATTTGTCCCAGTTTACTCGTCCAGTGATCAGTTTAGGAAGTGATGGTTTAGGAGCAAAGTCAGAATGTAGTGAAAGCAGAACTGGACTATGAAAAGACAAGTATAAGTAAATAAATTAAAATACTGAAATTACACAAACATATTTACATATATAAATTTATACATATAGGTAGGTTTACGAGATTGCACCTATAAACAATCAAAATGATTCCAACGAAATAGTAATAACATATTTATAACATGACCTATGAAAAACAATTTTGCATATATTTGGATTTGATTTTTCTTGATATATAAATTTTGAAAAATATTTGATGTTTGAATGAAATTAATTATGTGGTTCTATTAATAATTGTTGTTTTAAATAAAAAAGTTTGTATATTTGTTTTTTCGTGATTTTTTTTTTTTTGGAAATTAAGTTTTTTCGAAGGATACAGTTCTATGATAAGAGTACAATTTTATAATTAGGATCTTGTGTTAAAATAGTGGACAAAAGGGATGAAGAGATTGAAGATGTAAGGAAATTTTTTCATTGGCAAGTTAGTATTTTGTGGGAAGTTAATCTTATTGATAAAGGTGTTATTATTTATACTGTCTGTTATTGATGATGTCAGTTTTTCTATGGCACCATTAATGTCTTCTTTTGTCTTTAGCGGGATTTTGAGGTCTAGTTTGTTTTCCAAATCATCACGAAATTTGTCCCAGTTTACTCGTCCAGTGATCAGTTTAGGAAGTGATGGTTTAGGAGCAAAGTCAGAATGTAGTGAAAGCAGAACTGGACTATGGTCTGAAGAAAGGTCATCAGGGATTTGATTATAGTTTGGGAGGAGGAAATCTGGGAGGTGATAAATATGTCCAGGATATCGGGACGTTTTTTGAGGGATGTTGGAAAATAAGTAGGATTCATGGGCGAAAGGGTATTACCACGGGAGTTGGATGATCGACAACCCCATCGTTGGTGTTTAGCATTGTAGTCTCCTCCAGCAATAAAGCGTGATCCGAGGGATTGTAAAAAGGATTCAAGTAGGCTGTACGAGAGGGAATCGCCAGGAGGACAGTATACAGCTGAAAGAGTTAGATGGAAAGGACGAGTTGAGAGGATTACAGAAGTTGACTGAATGGCATCTGTTGGAATGGAAGGAATAAGGGAATGGGGTAAAGATTTGTGGATAAGGATGGAAGAACCGGCGTGGGCAGTGCTGTCTGGGTGGTCAGATCTATAGGTGATGTAGTCACGTATGTAGAAATGTGTCCGTTGGGTGAAGTGAGTTTCTGTTAGGAGGGCAATGTCAATATAATTGTCATGGAGAAATATGTCTAGTTCGTCACGGTGGTTTTGCAGTCCATTAGCGTTCCATAAGAGAATAGCTAGGGACTTTGAGTTCATCAAGGGAAGCTAAGCGGGATTTCGGAAAGGAGTCTGGTTAGAAGGGTTATGAGCGGTTTGATAGTCTGTTGAAGATCTATCAGGAAACTTATAATTTAAAATTAAAACAAACATGTTTTGATCTGGTATAAACTAATTTTGTTCTATCAAATGAAACTGGGTACAGGATGACCTTGATAATAAGAATATGTAGGTTGCATAGCCTGTTCGAATCATCAAAATATTTGGATTATCAAAGGTTAAATTTAAAATTATAGAAAAATTTCAGGTATGTATTATCAGTTAAATATAGACACATTGCAAAAAAAAAATTATTTCTGAAAATTATAATATAATGTACGTTGAATCTCTTATTTGTTGCTAAAGAAAATGCCTGATCTTGCAAATTCCTCAAAAGTACGAGAGTTCAGCTGTCGATACTGCACCATTTGCCTACTCCAAACAAGTATTAAATTCCTTTATTAAGCCAGATCTTGAATGAATGAATATTGTAAATATTGTATAAAAGTATATGTGTATTTAAGTATTTATTTTGTTAGATTAGTTTATTTTTGTTTAGTTTAGTATCTTTTAGTTTATATACATTTATTTTTAGTATTATTATATTGCTGTTTATTATTTTTATTTATTGTGCATAGTATGAATGAGCTATTCTTTATCACTATTACTATTGTCCTTGAATGTGACAGATTGTAATATATCTCAATAAAGAAATAAAAAAAAAAAAAGGCCAGTCAAGTTAGACATGTTGCCTTGCGAAAGATCAGGTAGTTCAAATTTCTTTTTTATATTGTTAGGTTTGTAGTGATTATAAAAAATCCAAGTTTTTGCTCTTGAAAGCCTTGTGGGTTTGCTGCTCCAAAAACCATTGAAATTTCCAACTTTTTTTGGTTTCTGCTAAATATCTCCTTTTTAGAGCAACATAAATAAAAATTGGTTTTATTCAATTTTGACTGACACAAAATTATCTAACCTTTTTTCTTAACCCAACAGGAAGCGAACTATCGAGCTTTCAAAATTTACCTATTTCGATTTCTTCACAATACTGCTGTTTCAATTTTGAACAGAAGAATTCTGTAACTCCATTTTAAATCTGGTTCAGGGAATTAGGAGGTTTTTCTTGAATGTAATGAGCCATTGACTGGAACGATAGACGATAGTTGGTAGGTATTTTGAAAAGTATGTTATATGGTGGGCCAGACCCCCCATAACCACCCGTAACCACCCCATACCGTTCATCATGCCTCTACATTCCAATGAATTGCATATAGTTGTGTTCCTTGTAACTATTTATTAAAAAAAAACAACAACAATGTTTTGATAAAAAAAAGTGGCCGCACTAATCCAAAATAGCGTTCAAACGTGAGAGATTGACATCTTTGACTTGAGTTAGTATTTCGGTCCCTGAGATTCGGC